AAAAATAATTATTTGAATGTACAAAATATAAAATATAGAATAATGTAAACAGTGTAAAGTGTCAGTGTGTAAAGTGTCAGTGTGTAAAGTGTCAGTGTGTAAAGTGTCAGTGTGTAAAGTGTCCAGGGTGTCAAAGTGCAATGTGCAGATTGGAATGTGTGGTTTGTGTGCATCATGTAGTCACAGTTCTGTTTTGTTTTTAACTGAGGAGAGTGGAGTTAACAGTCCGGACAGCCGGAGGAAAGAAGCTCTTCCTGAGTCTTTCTGTGTTCGCCTTGATGTGTCGAAGGCGCCTGCCAGAGGGTAGCCATGTAAACAGTCCGTTAAGTGTGTGGTGGGGATCACTCATGATCCTCTTTGCCCTGGCTGTGCTCCTCCTTGTGAAGATGTCCTGGATGGTGGGGAGTGTTGTACCCATTGTACGCTCTGCTGACTTCAGCACCCTCTGCAGGGCTCTTCGGTCACGCCCAGTGCTGTTCCCGTACCACTGGGTGATGTTTCCAGTCAGCACACTCTCCACCGCTCCGGAATAAAAAGTCTTCAGGACCTTCACAGAGACTTTGAATTTCCTCAGCTGTCTGAGGTGATAGAGGCGCTGCCTCGCCCTCTTCACCTGACTGTCTATGTGGGTTGTCCATGTTAAATCCTTAGAGATGTGCACCCCCAGGTACTTGAAGCTGCACACCCTCTCCACCAGCATCCCATCAATTCTTAGTGGGGTGTAATCCCTCTGCTGTCCTCTCCTGAAGTCCACAATCAGCTCCTTGGTTTTGCTGACGTTCAGGAGCAGGTTGTTGTCCTGACACCACTGTGACAGGTTTCCAACCTCCCCTGTATACGTCTGCTCATCATAGTTGCTGATGCAACCAACAACTACGTGTCATCTGCAAATTTCACGATGATGTTGGAGTTGCTTGTGGCCACACAGTCATGTGTGTACAGGGTGAAGAGCAGGGGGCTGAGGACACAGCCCTGTGGTGCTCCGGTGTTGACTGTCCAGTTTTATGAATACCTCGGTGTCTTCCTGCACAGTAAAACTGGAAAAAGAGAAGTGGTGCTGTTTTCAAGAAGGCACAGTCTGACTTTTTTTCTTAAGGAAGCTGAGATCCTTGGAAATGATCAAGAGTCTTCATGTTTTTTATCAGGGAGGCTAGTGTCCTCTTTTATGCTGTGCTTGGGGGGGGGGGGTTCATAAGAGAATGAGGACCAAACTGAAAACTGTTTTGATCTATGAAGGCGATCCTCTACGTGGTGTTTTTAATGGACTCTGAAGCTCCTTCAGTGAGCGATTAGTGATGCCTTAATGTTCCACTGAACGCCTCAGGAGCTCCTCTGTTCCTGCAGCAGTCTCACATTTTAATGAACAGTTAGAGTTTCTGACTCATGGCTGTACATGATTATTCAACTGGTTTCAGTGGTGTTTGTTATTTATTTACTTCTTGTGTACTGTGATGTACTGTAGATATTGTTTGTTGTGTATGAACTGACCAGGTGACAAATGAGTTTCCCCGCTGGGGATCAATAAAGTTTTCTAATCTAATCTAATATTGGAGATTGTAACGGAGCGGCTCCGTCACTGACTGCAGTCAGCACACACACCAACACACATATGGGAGCGATTAGTGATCAAAATTCAAATGATAAAGCTAATTTGAAAATTCAAATGCATTAACAGAAATGATTTTTAAGTTTTAGAATATGAGTGTATTATTTGACTCAAAAATAAAATGATGATTAATTTATCTAATTTGAATTTTAGTTTTCAACTTCAAAAATGCACATTCTTTGACTAAATTAAAATGAGGAAGAAAATTACATTTGCTAAATCTGTATCATAATTCAAATGAAAACTCTAATTTTAAAATGAAAATACAGGAACAGAAACACGTTTTAACTTTCAGATTATAGGTGCATTATTTGACCTATATTTAAAATGAATATTCAGTCATCCAGTTTGCATTTTACTTTACTCTCTATGTATGCATATTGTATGACATCATTCAAATGAAAAAGAAAAGGTCTTTGACTTTTCGTTTTCAAACTTGCTGTGCTAAAAAGTGATCAGAATTCAAACCAACTTGAAAACGAAATGGCGAAGTGGACGACGCAGGAAAGTGACGTCAGACTCCAGCTCCCGGACAGGTGAACGTAATATTTACAGTCTATGAGGCGAGCGGGCAGAACAACCTCTGAAAGGGAGAGAGAGCTCGTACAGTCGAGAGAGAGAGAGAGAGAGCTCGTACAGGTCGAGAGAGAGAGAGAGAGAGAGAGAGAGAGAGAGAGAGAGAGAGAGAGAGAGAGAGAGAGAGAGCTCGTACAGGTCGAGAGAGAGAGAGAGAGAGAGAGAGAGAGAGAGCTCGTACAGGGCGAGAGAGAGAGAGAGAGAGAGAGAGAGAGAGAGCTCGTACAGGTCGAGAGAGAGAGAGAGAGAGAGAGAGAGCTCGTACAGGTCGAGAGAGAGAGAGAGAGAGAGAGAGAGAGAGAGAGAGCTCGTACAGGTCGAGAGAGAGAGAGAGAGAGAGAGAGAGAGCTCGTACAGGTCGAGAGAGAGAGTGTGTGCCATTACGCACAGAGGATGAGAGAAAAATTCAATCAATAATCTTTTGTAACTAAGTGAAGCAGAGAAGAGAGTGATCTATAATCTATCAATAAAGAGGTCTTAGGACACTTCTGTGTGAATTTCACGGCGTGCAGATGCTGAGTGTCTCTCGGTGTCACGCAGGAGACTTGGCAGCTCGGGTTAGAAAGCTGCTGCTGCGTCATGCTCGCTGAAAAAAACCACTCCGATCACCACCTGCATCACCGTGTGAGCTAAAGTCTGCCCTAGTGTTAAAGATTCACCCTGCCACCCCTCGTACTCAGATTCACCCTGCCACCCCTCGTACTCAGATTCACCCTGCCACCCCTCGTACTCCTAGTGTTAAAGCTTCACCCTGCCACCCCTCGTACTCCTAGTGTTAAAGATTCACCCTGCCACCCCTCGTACTCCTAGTGTTAAAGCTTCACCCTGCCACCCCTCGTACTCCTAGTGTTAAAGCTTCACCCTGCCACCCCTCGTACTCCTAGTGTTAAAGCTTAGCTTTATCATTTGAATTTTGATCACTAATCGCTTCCATACACACACGCTGAAACACACCATCCTCCAAACTTTTCCCTCTGCCAGTGCGCCTATAATCATTCAGTAAATCACACCATCATCCTCCTTTCCCTCTCCGTTTCAAAGCGCGATTAAGGGTGCACACTTGAAAGCTCTATTTTTGGTATCACACATATATATACAGATTCAGAGTGGTATTACCGTTGGTGCGTGTCATATGCGCTCCGCGGTGTCCCGTTTGTTCCAAACAGAGGCGGCCCATTTCCGCATACTAAATAGGCGGATGGGGCACCCATGGGTGATCACATGATTGATTGATTAATTAAATGTTTGTTTTGAAAGTATCGCCACCGATACATTACAGTGGTGGTACAAAAATATGGAGGAGAATGGGTAATTTAGGGGTGAGCAGTCCATGTTAATTTAACAGAGTGTAAATTACTCATTCATGAGATAATGTGTTTCTTTAAAATATTAGGCAATTTATAACGCCCAGTGGGAGGGGCTTCTTGTGTTTAAAAGAGAGCTGCTTGCTGCTTTCAAGCAGTCTAGGATGGTTACAGTGAAGGTAACATGTTACAGCAGAGACTTTATTTTCTTGAAGTACAGTTTGTTTGCTGAGTTAAGTGGATTTTGTTTTTGGATGACTTTTGTTTGGTAAATAGTTTAAATAGTCTAAACACCATTTTTTCCTGTTTTTGCATTTTTGTAAATATCTATCACTAGACTTTGGGAGGCTGGAAAAAATAAAAACACTTCACTTGCATTCTGCGAGTACGCCTGTTTTAAAGTTTTTGGGTGGATTGAAAGAGGACCCCGTCACAGAGATGCTTTTGAAAAATGGAGAGAGGTTAGAACACAGAAAGGTTTACAGACCCATGCAGAGCTGGATAAACACTGAAGCTTCAGAGTCCACCACATGGTGACCTGAGTGAGCATCCACTCTAGAGAGGGGGGGGGGGACAGCTCTCTATAATGCTTAGAATTTAGACTGTAGTGCCCATTTTAAACACTAGGGGTCAGAGCTACATACTGCTCCTTTAAGCACACAGCAGTATCATCCAATCAGGACGCGTTTTGACCATCAGAAGAAACATCACAGATAACGAGTATATTTTTTTTATTGAGTTATATTCTGCTACAGATCCTAACTGATGGACTTCCTGTATAGATACATGGTTCCATCGAGGTACTGCTCGTCCTCTGTCTGATTATGATAAACATCCATCATGTATTTCTTCATGTCTCCAGTCGACATGGGGCTCCACAGCCCCTCCTCCTCCATCTGCTGAAGCTCTCGCTTCATACTCAGCTTGTATTTCTCTCCGGACTCTGACTTGGGGTCCACCCTCGACATGCAGACGTATCCGCCTGCAGGAAGAAAAACTCTTTAAGAAGTGGAGATATGATCTTCTCTACACATCGCCCCCTTGTGTTCAGATCTATGTGTGAAACAAAAAGAATCAAACCTGAACCCTTAACCATCGCGAGGATATTAACCCTTTGTTAGCCGGGACCTGATGCACAGAATGATTAAACCTGCGTAAATGAGTCAACAAGACGTCATCAAGCTGCCCTGCAGAGCAAACAGCTCTCTGTGCATCCGTGATCATTTTGTGGATACCTAAATGAGCAATTGTCCGATTATACAGTGCAGAATTGGCCCCCTTCTCATGAACCGACCTCACTGATAAAAGTCCCTGATTCACAAACAGACACAGTAAGGGCCAATCACATAAAGAGGCGGGGCTAGAAAAGCGATCAGTGGATGAGATCTCATCTGATTTGCTGACGAACCAATCGGACACAAAACAAGAGCAAACTGTTGGGAACAGAAACAGTTTACTTCCTGTAACAAAACCTTCTGCTTCCTCTTTAAGTTTAAAACCCCGCGTAGCAGTGT